GCTGCAGATGACATACTTTTGAAATAATAATTTTAGTCCACTGAAATCATTGCCTAATTAATGAATAATTTCATGATGAATAATTTGACTAAGAACAAGACTATCCTGCTTCCGAAATCAAAATGACTAATGCAAAACAAAATTCTCTGTATTTCTAATTGCAGTGGAAGTCCATAATAGTGAAAGTCATACGTTTGAAAGAAATATTTGTGACAAAATTATTAACTAAATTAAATTATCTACAAGCGGTAAATGTTAAAAATATACTCAAATATATGGGTGTATTGTGCGTGAATATAATTTATGTATAGTTAAAATTTATTGTAAGGTAAACAGCTGCATATATTTCGAAACAAAGGGATCGCAGTTTTCCATTAGTTGTTTTCCTGAAGAGGTTTTCTCGGTCAGCACCTCATGCCAGCAAGCACTTGCCAGGCGAGAATAGTTCTGGGCCTGTACTTTCAAAAAAAGTTAAGAGATCGTAAGTTCTTCAGCCAATCATTGACGGCGTTTCAAGCAAAATCCACCAATCATAGACAAGAAAAAAGAGCGTAAGTACTTCCGTTCACTTAGCGAGTTTTGAAAGTATGGCCCCAGCAGGGCAAACAGCTGAGACTGGAAACCACCTCCTCTCGATCGCTACTCGTTGGCCGCCTCTTCGTCCCTCTGCGTGTTGTAGCTCCCACATGCCTTCCAGGCGCATCACTACCCTGGCTGTATTTGCTTAAACTTTCCAGTCCGTCACCTAAGCTGCCCACGCAGTGTGCGTGGAAAAATCATGGAATACACGACAATAACATCCTTCCTTGTCTGCCATCTAGACCATGCAGTTCTTTGTCAGTGTCAATGTAAATCAATTCAATCAATCCGCACGAATTATGATTGACATCTTTTATATTCATGTCGTTCGAAGTTTATCACAGAATATTGAATGTTGACAATCACGTGACCTTGCCGACACACGACATGGGCGGACTGCTGGAAATTGTAATCACGCGTGCTGACTTTCAAAGTCTGCCAGTTGGCATCATCAAGATCACAATATCCGACCATCGACTACTTCAGTGGACGATGCCATATGTGCNCTCGGCGCCAGCATCAGCTTCCGGCCACTCCTGTTCGCGTGGGCAATGAGTTCGTCATGCCTGCGTCCGCAGTTCTCAAACTGGGCATTCTGCTGGACTCGAAACTTTCTATGAACAGTCACATTGCCAAGGTCACCACCGCTTGCTATGACGTTCTGCGACGAATATGTATAGGTAGCATCAGCCACTGTCTTTCGAGGCTGGTGCTCGAGGCCCTCGTGGTTGTGCTCGCTCTGACCTGATTTGGACTAAGAGACGATTGCGCTCGTCATCAACAGCGGACCTCGCCGTACCATCTACACGTCTCTCGATCGTCGGCGACAGAACGTTCCCGGTCGTCGCCGCCAGAACCTGGAACAGTCTGCCTGCTTCCGTAGCTTCGGCTCCGTTGCAGGTGTTTCGTCGACGCCTAAAAACGGAACTACTGTATATCGTAGAGCCAATGAATTTAGTGCTTAGTCATTTTATCCGTTCCCATCCTTTCTTGTGTCTATTTATCTTTCGTTTGCTATTAATCTTATATGTGACGTGCCCTCGAAGTTCGTTTGTCGTGATAGATGCTTCGTAGGAGAATACCTAATAACTAAGCGATACTAAGAATAACGCAGAAGAAGTTGGCATTGTTTAATCCTCCATTTAAAGCAATTCAATAAATTTTATTCTCACCTGCGGTTGGTAACTGAAGGAGGTAATAAATTTTTCTAGAAAGCTCTAGAATGAAAATTGGAAAATCAGCTAAAATAAAGTTAATTTTTTATTTTATTAGCTAAGTTGATTTTTCGTAAGATTAATGTTGTTGTGCTGGATTAACATGCAGGTTCCGGCTGAACATATTAACATATTGTATGTTCTATCAGCAATATCTGTTATTTAATTTATTTCAGTATCCTTTGCTTCGGATATGGAAGTCAATATTAAAATAATAGCGGTTTCAGCGTTTATCAGGCCGTAGGCCTGTCGCTGATTCTGAACATTGCAGAACATCCACAGCATTTTGCGGTCTCGAACACGCAACTCACTGCTTCAAGTTTTTGCTGTGCTTAACCGCCCGGCCTCCTCGCCGATTCTGACCAGAAACTGGCGCACAGAGCTAGGATCGAACCCGCGCCTCTCTGCGCCAATCCTGGTTCTCTGAACTGTAACCAAAGGGCCACCCTGACCAGTAACACATATTCGACACTTTATTCATGCAGAGTGCTATCATTATTAGAGACGAAAACAAAATGTTTAAAATGCAACGTAGAATTAATTTTTGAATAATCGAACATTTTTTTTAAACTCATATCGATTTCAAGCAGGGTCCACGAATGCAGTGCAAACATATCATATTTTCCTCATGATACGCCGATGACTTGTTTTGAATATTGAGTTAGGTTCATCAATATTTATCAACTAATAACATCTCAATGCAATGATAAGACTAGCCTCGTCAACTACTTATAAATTCCAGGTGGCGTATATATAGTCTCTAGGTTCTATAGATGCTATTAGCAATATTGTACTGGTATCCAGGTTTTCTTGGTCAATATTTGTTTTATAAGCTTAACCGAAAAGACAATTGAGTAGCCACTTGAAATAATTATCCGTGCTGCCATAAATACTGCCAATGTTGTATTTAAATTCTATACAAATTTATTAGTACTATTTAAACGACAGTGAAATGCTTGTGAACCATGTACAAGTATTTGACGTGTGAACCACGTCAATTATCGCTGTCTCTTATNTGATTTCAGAAACAAATTGATGATTCGTTCCGAAAAAAAGGATTTCAGAAACAAATTGATGATTCGTTCCGAAAAAATTGATGAAAATTAAAAAACAAATTAATGATTCATTCAGAGCTGTTGGTCGAAGACCGAAGCCTGCCAGCCGCGCTGGAAGGCCCTCGAGAGGATGATCACGGGCACGAGGATGGCGAGGGCGCAAAGGGCGGCGCCCTGCGTGTTGATCAGGACCGCCTCGACGCCCATCTCGGAGTACGTGCTACGGTTGGTCGTAGGATCTCTGGAGGACAAACATTCCTTCAGATTGCGACTCACTTTACGGTCAATATTGGTCAAGATCGCAATGCTGTGACTACCGGAGTGTTGAATAATTTCGTTAACTGGGTGGAAACAAGCCGGAGAAAAACTGATCGGATCACAATAATCACAATTAATTTAATAATTTAATTTAATAATCTAATTTGATCATCACAAGAGAGAATTTGCAATTGAAAAAACGTGATAATATCTACTCAGATATGTCAATAATTTAAATGTGTAGTTTGGAAATATAATGTGTAGTTTAGAAATACAATCAAACAGAACAGCCAAGGCTTACTGCGCAATGTATTTTAAGGAGAATTCAAACTAATTTGAGTTCATTAATTTTTTTTACAAAACCAGAGAACAAAAAAATAGAAAAGAACATATATTTCATTGCCTTCAGACACTTATTACTCAACGGACATTTAATAGTTGTGGCGCGTCAGGGTCTGGACAGAACAAAAATTGGCAAGACGTAAAATACCCTATATACGTTTAAACATAAAATCTCGCACTATAGTAGATTCTATATTATGTGACATTCATTATACTCTGGAGCATAGTTCATAAGCAAGCAGTGATCTAGGTATACTGTGCACCGATGTCTCGTACAGTATATGACATGCTAACTGTCCTGGTCGACAAGGCAGTATGTGACATGCCCACGAAGAGATTGTCGTGGCGTCTCGTTCAGATCGAACTTCGAGGGCACGTTACAAGTGGCTAAAAAGACACGAGAGGCGAAAAACAGATGACGTCTATGCTAAAACAGCGTGCACTCATCCACAGTGCAGTGTCCGATGTGCTCTCTGCATATATATAATATTTGTTGTTTGTGAGATGCATCCTGCACCGGCACTCGTGTGAGGTGAATAATGTTTTTTACGCTGCACTTTTTGCCAACACCTTTCAATAAATTTTATTGAAACTAAGATCGAGACCAAGTGAGACAAAAAGCAAGCACATTAAGAATTATAGCCTNTTGAGAGAAAAAACCGTTAACTGAGATAACTTAGTTAGCAAATGTCCCCATATTAGTATTTGGTTATGAGGTCACTGGGGTCGGAGAGTCAATTTTCCGAACTGAAATTGCAGAACGATAAAAGAGATGCACGGAAACATAAGTTTATCGTGAGGTAGAACAGACAAGAGCAAAGTAGAACCTCCAGTCAAAAAGACCGAAATACAAGAATTGAGAAGTCGTAAGCACGGTCGTTATGCATGGCATGAAAATCCCACCACTTTTAGGCTCTCTACAACATTGTGTTTTGGGGAGACTGCAGACATAAGAATGTGTAATTACGCTAAGCCGCATATGTTATTTTTAAAGCAGCTCTCCTCGCCTAATATACGCCAGTATAATTGCGTGATTAAGGAGTAGTTTCTAACTGCAAGTCAATGATTAAATTGATTGCCTTCATTTAAATAATTTCAGCGTTTTAGAGCTCTTTTTGGCTAAGTGCTGACAATAACGGTTTTCAGATGTTATTTATTTACTTTTATTTTTTAAGTAATTTAGAATAAATATACAAGTTATTGAATCAATTCAATACTCTCCCAAATCGCGTTTCAATACACAATAGCCTCCTTTCATTCACAGCAACGCTATACGAGTTTCAATACAGGTAGAATTTAGTCATCAGGTACATTTATATGAACAAAAATATTGCAACAAAACAGGGTGATATCGACACAGACAAGCCAAAGGTGCCATTCGATGCATGACAAGCAAAGAACACGGTTAACAGTGTCATGAAAGTAGGACTTTAAAGCTTATGATTGTTGTCAACTCACTTCAAAGAGAAGATGGCTTTCTTTGTATATATACGGAGGTTTGTCATGGAAGTAGCACTTAATATTTAAAGTCTGTGATTGTATGTCAACTCACTTCAGAGAGAAGATGGCTTTCTCTGTATACCCGGATACGGCCGTGGCTACAGCCAGCATGAAGGTGATGATGCCGAAGGTGGAATGGATAGGCAGAAGGTTGGCCCTGAAGTTGGAGGTGCCCTGGTCGCAGCACAGCAGGATCCAGAAACTGAAGAACCCAACCACGAACTGCGGGCACGAGGAAAGTGTAGCGAGGACTGTGCTGGTGCACTCAAAGAACAAATATAACTCGGTACTCACTGCAGTGAGTGACAGAGAGCGCATTTTCTCGTCGACGAAAACTTGAGGTCACGGACGGACGGACAGACAGACAGACGGACATGGCGAGCACAATAGTGCATTTTTCCATAAATGAGAAAATGCGCTAATAAGAGAAATTTTGTTTGAATAGCTACGTGCCTTTTGGCCTTTTGTCCGTCATTTTGGACCAATTTGATCCGGCAAACGAGCGAATCAGCGTTATGTGCCGAAAGTGTGTCACGATTTAGTTATATGACCCATCAATTTTCTTTAATACAAATAATTTACGGGACTTAGTACATGTTAAAATTACATAAATATATTGATGAAACAAACGAAACTATTACAGGTCCAACCTAAGCGAGCACTCAGAAATGTTGATGTGAGTAAAATCTGTGATGCAAACTAAGAAGAATATTCATCTTAAGATGATCAGATCAAACAGGGATCAAACATCAATATATTTAAGCTTGTCTTCGTTAACGATCAAGCAGAGGCCCTTAGTTTATTACTGTGTTGCAGGAGCTGCTAAAGAAATCGAGTATCTCTACTCGGTCTCCAAACCTGTAGGCATGTACCTATATTATTCATAGTTATATTGACGTACAAACTCAGCGAAGATGTGAGAGGAACTTTTGTTATCAGCGGGATACCGGCAACACATGCATTATTGAACTGTGAGAAAATTCGTTGAAAATAATTTGGATCATACAGAAGGGAAAACGCGGGATGTGAAGAAAATTAATTCAAAAGCCGGCAAATGAATAATCGCATGAGTGTTGTGTTATGAAGAAAAATTTTTTGATTATTTAATTGAACGAATCATCAAATGCTGAGAACAATGGATGGAAGATATTTAATTTGTATACGTGATAATGCATAACTTTTTTCTTCTATAGTTGAAAATAGCATTGGCAACGGAGAATAAATGCGTTTATAAAGCGATAACAGGAATGTTAAAGGGACTTGAATATCTTCACAAAATTTGAATATACAAAAAAGCAAGCAGTGAGAAGCAACAGGAGACGTATAAGACTGTCTCTTATACACATCTAGATGTGTATAAGAGACAGTAACATGACTTATGTTATAACAGAAAGTATGTTATAACAGGAACTCGTATAACACGACGTATGTTGTAACACGAATTATGTTATAACACCGAAATAACTCTTCAGTCAAGTAATATGAGTTAACAGGACTGTTTGGTAAACAACTACACACATAATATACATTTATATACACGGACACATAAGCCATAATTAGCAGCAGCACTTTAATAGAAAATTGATGAATATGCCCTGCCATAAACTTAACTTGCATGCAGTGGATTGCTTAACTAAACAGCTGATATTTCACAACAATAAAAGCAGATATGAAGCTCACAACAGCATCAATGTCACACAAAAACAACTACACAAACGACATATTTTATTTTGGCATCTAAGACAACGTGTAATAAGCACGGGGATCATTTTAAAAGCAATAGGACAGGTGAGAACAACAGCAGCAACAGGGGCAACAGCAAGCCATGACACATCTTTGTTGGCAAAGTGTGTCATAAAACAGCAGCAGTGGTCGCAACATCAGGTCACCAGGAGGTGCTTACACTCAAATAAATGAGCAAGATTCTGTCCAAATAACGATACACTTTTTCCTCTTGTGTGGGACATCCTGAATCAGTTTAGCTCTGCAAAAAGCATAGTATATCAGTGATATGTGTACGTAGTGTGGGTCATAAAGTGTGTCACTATTTGGACAATATGAACCATTCATTTTTCTGGGTGCTTAATCTCAACAGGATGGCGTGCAGGGGTAACCCGGCTATGCCTCGTCTACCAGCTGGGCATAGTCCGACCTGTGGTGTGGTGGTGTGGGGCAGTGTGGTGCAGTGTGGGGCAGGGTGGTGATGAAGGGCAGTGTGGTGTAGTGAAACAGTATGGTGGTGCCGGGAAGTGTGGTGGTGCGTGGTGGTGTTTGTGTGGTGGTATTATGAGAGGAGGGTGACGACATGACGGTGTTTGTAAATGAAATTGTAGAAAACGTATAATTGTTAAGTCACGTTTATAGCAATGGTGAGGTAGTGGTAGGTGACGGGAGGCATGCATGGCAACGTCAAAGTTTTGGGTGACAATGTGCAGTAAAAAAAGTCATAGTTATGATATTGGTAGCAGAAATGAGTGAGTGTGAATCATTATTAACGAGATAAGGTGCGAGTGAAAAGTGTGCGGGGAATCAGGAGAGTTGTGATGTTTATTCAGGTTTTTCATTGATAAAATATCAAAGCGATTTCAAAGGATGGTAAATTGATCAAGACACACAATTAAAATTAGAAGAAAGATGATTTAGGTAACCAAAGACCAGATAAAAAGCAAGCACGAAGACGATAAATAGAGCACGATTTGTTGATGTTATTACAGGAAGAGGCGGAGTTTGAAGAAATAAAAAGATAACATACAGTGTTACGTGGATTAAATCAAGGGGATTAAATAAGCGTGTAAATGACGAACATAAACGAAAGATGGATCAGTGAGGGACGAATGAGGGTGTGAATGGTGTGCGTGGGGAAGTGAATGGGTGTATAGAGAGGAAAGAAGAGGTTATATTCACGTTACAAAACTGAGGGACAACACACAAATGCACAGTCTTGAGATGTGCAAGCAATTATGTTCAAAACGCGATCATTATGGCTAAAACAAATAAGGACACATGTGAGTGAATTTGGCTTAAGTTCATTGTCACTGTTACAACTGGGATTATTTATTTACTTTTTAGGACTGAACTGTTTGCGTCAGTGCAAGTCAAAATTATAAGATGATGTTCAATTTTTATGGCAAGAACACAGCACAAGATCATGAACACGCCATAAGTAAACAGTGAATAGAAAAACTCTGAGCCCGGTAAGAATATTATGACTCTTCCATAATATCTGCAACATTATGGAAGAGTTATTGATATTATCTTCGTTTGCCATGACTCTGTCATGCCCACCGGCGCACCTGATGTTACGAATTTTGCCGCTACGCTGGCGCATTATCGGGCCACTGTATATACGACATGCACTGTTAGAAAAATTACCGTTAACGGTATTACCGGCATTTCAGTGGCCGGTCGGCACGTGAAAAGAAACACCGTGTCGCCGTTTTTATTCTACGCTAGAAATCCGTAAAACATCTTATAAAAACGGAGCAACAGTTTATTTTCACGGGGCGACCGCGGCCACTAAAACGCCAGTGGGACCGTTTTTTCACCGTTTTTTCTAACAGTGTTTCTAACTGCGAACTTGTTATGCGGGCGGGGCTGTTGCTGTCACCGCTGTTGCTGCCACAGCTGCTCACCGTTTTTGTTACCTGCAGAGCAAAAAGCCCCATAGTGACCAGCCCCAACCAGGAGTGTAGGGAGTACAGGTTGGGGATGGGTGGGTTCCTCAAGTTGTGGTTGTCGAAGACGGCGATGGTTGCAACCACGATACAGGGCACTGCCAGCAGGTAGAGGAATGTGTGCAGGATCTTGCTAGCCAGCTTGTTGCAGCACCGGAACAGTCGGTACACCAGCATGGCTGAAAAAAACTCGAAGTTACTTCAAATAACAGAAATTAAGAATAGAAAATGATCAAATAGCATTTCTTGGTGAGACAAAAATCTGAGTTAATTCAAATAACAGAAATTAAGAATAGAATATGATCAAATAGCCTTTCTGTGTGAGATAAAGATGTAAGTTCAATAATAGTACAGTACCGTAAATCTCTGATGCCGATGACAGTCAAATAATGATGGCAGAAGAGAATGAAAGTCTCACTATTGGCATGAATAACCTCAGACGCGCAAATAAAACTTGGACTTCTGATGAATGCGGATAATTCAATACAACGAAAATGAAATCTTTGTTTCTACAACTTGCAATTACGCCGAGATCATCCAGAGCAATCATGAGTAACATCATAATTACATTATTGTGCTAGCCTGAATGTAAGCTTAATTTGCAATTTAGAAGAATAATTGATGGTGAATATAATACCCGAGCACAAGAGTGAGAGTTGATCAGCTGAACACACATTAATAAGTAATCATCATTCCATAATAAACCTGATGTGAGTAAAAAGAGTATAATTTTTCAACAGAAGGTTCGATCGCGCCAAGAAGAGAATTAATGGAAGGGTACGCATTGTGTTAGGTTTACATTAAAAAAAACGTATATTCTTGAAATCGTGTGATCGGCGGCGGCCAGGTATTGCTTCAGTCATCGCATTTCAAGCAAAAAAAGCCTACTACAACCGTTTGCAGAATTACATGGAATTCTTGTTTTGACAAAAGTTCATGTACAATCTAGGTAAGAATATCATTATAGTCAGCGGGATGAATAGACTGACTGGTCAAGAGAGAGCAAAGCTCATGATTTTCATTGCGGAAGGAAGGAACTTCATTGAATTGGCGGATGTCCAGGTATATCGTACAAAACATTAAAGCGAAGGAGATATTTGAAAGGCATGGGAAGATTACCCCAGCGCGTCTCAGTGTTATTAGGAGGCAAAGTGTGTCGGGGTAAAGTAACAGAGACGTCAGCATGACACGCTCGGAGAAAAATATAAGACTTTATCCAAATAACAACGCACTTCGTGCTTTATTTGGGTCATTCTGACCCAGCTTGGTCTGGAAAAATCAGTGCTACGTACATATAAAGCGTGTCAATATTTGGACAGTATTTGACCCATTTATATTCTGAGTGAACGTTCAATATGTGATGAATTAAAGGGATGAGTAACATATTAGGAGCTGAGGCAGGAGACGGGGCAAGGCATTTTAAGTCTTGGGCTTTATATTAAAATACGTTGGTGATGATAGTTGACTTTAGTATTAATGAGACATCACGTATAATAGTTCTGCATTTTTGGTCCAGTTAAAAGTCTGAATGTCGCTATATAGTCTCGCCGAATAACAATGTGACAACTTTTCATGTCCTTGCCCTTGACCTTGACCTTGAGGTCATGCCTGCATGCCTAAAACTTAAGACAAGTTAAGGATCTTGTCGAGATACCGCGACGTGTATTGAAGGATCTTGTCGAGATACCGCGTAGCTCTGTGCGCCAGTTTCTGGTCAGAATCGGCAAGGAGGCCGGGCGGTTAAGCACAGCAGAATTGTAGCAGTGAGTTGCGAGTTCAAGCCCGCAGCAAGCTGTGGATGTGCGATGTTAAGAATCGGCGACAGGCCTACAGCCTACTAAACGCTGAAACCGCTATTATATAATAGTTCTACATTTTTGGTTCAGTTAAAAGTCTGAATCTAGCTATTTAGTCTCGCCGAATAACGATGTGACAACTTTTCTTGGCCTTGCCCTTGACCTTGACCTTGAGGTCATGCCTGCATGCCTAAAACTTAAGACAAGTTAAGGATCTTATAGAGATACCGCGACGTGTATTGAAGGATCTTGTCGAGATACCGCGACGTGTATTGAAGGATCTTGTCGAGATACCGCGACGTGTATTGAAGGATCTTGTCGAGATACCGCGACGTGTATATAAGGATCTTGTCGAGATACCGCGACGTGTATTACGCCGTTGATAAATCGTCTCTACGAGATTGGACAGCTCAATAAATGATCAGTCTGCATAAATGACATTTACATGATTTTTTATTGTTTGTATCCGAGAATTGTACGGATTCAACGGACTTTAAGTTTAAAGCCGAAAAGATATTTTTTTAAAATTCGTTTTTACTTTTCACATTAATTCGCCATAAAGTCATGAAAAATTGTTTAAAATATTGTACCAGGATCTACGTCAGTTAAAGAGGGATTCTACTTTTTTATTTGACGCCTGCGATGGCAGAGTTTACAAACTTATATGACTGTCTCTTATACACATCTAGATGTGTATAAGAGACAGGCGTACGTGCAAGTCAAAATTATAAGCTGATGTCCAATTTTCATGGCAAGAACACAGCACAAGATCATGAATAGTGAACATATCACCATAATTAAACAGTGAAGATCATAAGTAAACAGTGAATAGAAAAACTTCGAAGCAGATAAGAATATTATGATTCTTCCATAATATCTGCTACTTTATGGAAGAGTTATTGATATTATCTTCGTTTGCCATGACTCTTCCACACTCGCTGGCTTTAGGCCCTGCATCGAACACCTTCGCATGTGAAAAGTGTCTTGGAGAGTTTTTTTAAATTTTCTTCTTCTTTCTCTGAGTTATTGATATTATCTTCGTCGCCGGCGCACCTGATGTTACGAATTTTGCCGCTACGCTGGCGCATTATCGGGCCACTGTATATACTACATGCACTGTTAGAAAAATTACCGTTAACGGTATTACCGGCGTTTCAGTGGCCGGTCGGCACGTGAAAAGAAACACCGTGTCGCCGTTTTTATTCTAATTTTACGCTAGAAATCCGTAAAACATCTGATAAAAACGGAGAAACAGTTTATTTTCACGGGCGACCGGCCACTAAAACGCCAGTGAGACCGTTTTTTCACCGTTTTTTTCTAACAGTGTGGCCAGCGCAGACTTGTAAAACTGGCGGGGCTGTTGCTGTCACCTCTGTTGCTGCTAAAGCTGCTCACCGTTTTTGTTACCTGCAGAGCAAAAAGCCCCATAGTGACCAGCCCCAACCAGGAGTGTAGGGAGTACAGGTTGGGGATAGGTGGGTTCCTCAGGTTGTGGTTGTCGAAGACAGCGATGGTTGCAACCACGATACAGGGCACTGCCAGCAGGTAGAGGAAGGTGTGCAGGATCTTGCTAGCCAGCTTGTTGCAGCACCGGAACAGTCGGTACACNCGCACGCCACGAACGATACGCACGCCACGAACGATACGCACGCCACGAACGATACGCACGCCACGAACGATACGCACGCCACGAACGATACGCACGCTACGAACGATACGCACGCCAAGAACGATACGCACGCCAAGAACGATACGCACGTCACGAACGATACGCACGCCACGTACGATACGCACGTCACGAACGATACGCACGCAACGAACGTTACGCACGCAACGAACGATACTCACGCTACGAACGATACGCACGCCACGATCGATACGCACGCCACGAACGCTACGCACGCCACGAAATCCACACGCACTACACGGTACAGACGACACACGCGTCTCACACACGTCACGTACAATTTCAGCGATTCACATACCACACACCACACACACCACACACCACACACACCACACACTTGTTTGCCTTGACTGGCAACCTATCGTGTGCAATTTACTTACGCGTGTGCCAGCCTCCCCCCCTACCGCTCCCCCTAACTCCTAGACTCCTACATCAGCAGCGGGATCGTCCTACTTGTCCTAATTTACTATTTTGAAAAATCTTACTTCAGGAACGTCCTACTTTCGTTTTCGTTTTACTTGTCCTGATCCCACAGCTCCTACATTCCTCCAGTGTTCGTAAAACATTCCTCCACACGCAAAGATATGTGTGAATATTTGTCTAAATAGCGATGGAATTTTTTACCCCTTGTGTGGATTATCTTAACCCAATTGAACCAGGCAAAGGGGGATTTCAGTACTACTTGCAGAAAGTGAGTCACTATTTGGACAATATGACTCATTTATTCTCCTTATAAGTGCACGTTTCTGTGGAGATTTATTTATCGCTTCTCCAATGCTTTCTTTAATCCAACGTCAAGCAAATACATACCTTCAAGCTGCTATAGGGCGTGTCAACCATTTGATGTCACCATAATAATTAGAGGCTTAAGTCGCAAGTTCGCAAAAGATAACAATGCAATTATTGCAAGATATAATTGCATTGTTATTATTAATAATTGCATCAGATAATTATATCTGATGCAATTATTCCCTGGCAATTAAGGAGATGTTCAAATGTGCGTTGCTGCAATCGCGTCCCAAGCGAGCGGTCCCTCACATCGCTGCAAAAGGTGCTGCAATTTTTGTACTTTGGTGCGTGATCCTGACCTAATTTGGCCAGGAAAATGCGCATCAGTGCTACGTGCAGAAATAGTGTCACTTTTATATTACATATACATATTTTTTTAGTTAAGGCAATACATGGCATATAAAAGAGATGAATCCACCTCAATGGCGGACCAGGTGAATCTAAATCTACTCTTGAATACAAGAAGAAGAGGTTCTCAAGCGCCTTAGCGCTGTAAATCCAAACAAGTCATGTGGACCAGACGGCTTCCACCCCAGATTACTCAAAGAGTTAGCAACTGTCCTAGCCGGCCCTCTGACGTCACTTTTTCGAAAAACTTTGAACGAAGGAATGTTGCCGGCTGACTGTAAAGAAGCTCAAGTGCTGTCTCTTATACACATCTAGATGTGTATAAGAGACAGCATATGTTCAGTCTTAAAATGCCTAGCAAATTACGGACCAGGCAATAAGTCCAGCAGCTATCTCAATCAATCGTCAGCTATGGAAAGATCGGGTTCCAATGGCCGGATCCCTTGTTAATCAAGTCACGAAAAGTTCAAGAATCGGCAACAGGCCATGGGCCTATTTCTTCAACGCCGACACTTCTATTCTATTCTATTCTATTCTATTATATTATATTATATTATAT